AGGCTAGGTTCCATCCTCGTCATTTGTCTGACAACCAATTTCACGACTTTCATCTGAAATAACGATATGTTACCTGAGTGGTTCTAATACAAAAAATCCTCACATTCCAGAAGAGGAAGCTTGTGAAAAACAGGTGCGTTCCATTTATAAATTTTCTACATAGAGTCTGCGATTTTAAAAGATATAATGGTGGTAAAAAGAACTGGTAGTTGTTTAATTACCTTCAATTATTCTCCCTTTGCAATTTCGCACTGATTTGGAGAATGTCGGAAGCATCCTAGACTCGGTGGCGCAACGGTAGCGCGTCTGACTCTGAATCAGAAGCTTGCGTGTTCGAATCAAGTCCTGGTCAATGTGTGCACGTTACTTTTGCTCCACTTTAGAAAATTAATTTGTACAAAACACACACATTAATAAGGAAAATATCTTGTTAGTCCGACCTTGCTAATTTCGTAGTTTCCTGGGACTCGAATTTCATGTAAAACATGAAAGGAAAGAATGAGAAAAATGGCTTTGTACTAGTTCCGCAATCGTAGGGCATGCTCATCCTGAAGTATATGAATCAGTATGCAATACTGTAAGTATCCATGGCACATGTACCTATTTTGCTCTCTTCGTAAGAAGTGCACATGACCATGAATATAAATAAGTTATAATATTAGACTTTTACGTAATGCCAAAGGACTGTACATTTGTCAAATATCATTCCTGATCCTGTCAATATAACATGCAGAAATGAGATTGTTAACGTGGCTCGGTGGCGCAACGGTAGCGCGTCTGACTCCAGATCAGAAGGTTGCGTGTTCAAATCACGTCCAGGTCAACAAATGTTGGATTTGTTTCTTTTATTTTTTTCTTCCGTCTTAAGAAACAATATGAATTTACTCTATTTCTGAAACAATAATTTTCTAAGCTTAGAATATTTTTGTTTTTCTCCAGTAGCCCGCGTTTCAGTAGGGTTCCATTAATAAATTTGCTTGCGGTGCATTGAATTACGTTAAATTTGTCTAAGCTCAAAATTGACAAATGAGAAAATTGTTATGATTCAAAAGTCAAGGTTAGGTTCCATCCTCCTCATTTATATGTGAAACCCAAATTCACGATTTTCAACTGCATTTAAAATATGTTGCCTGAGTGTTTCTAATACAAACAATCCTTACATTCCAGAAGAGGAAGCTTTTAAAAAACAGGTGCGTTTCATTTATAAATTTTCTTCATATTCTGCGTTTTTAAAAGATACAATGGTGGTAAAAAGAACTGGTAGTTGTTTATTTACCTTCAATTTTTATCTCCCTTAGCAATTTCGCACTGAATCGCAGAATGTCGGAAGCATCTAAGACTCGGAGGCGCAACCGTAGCGCGTCTGATTCCAGTTCAGAAGGTTGAGTGTTCGAATCATGCCCGGGTCAATGTGTGCACGTTATTTTTGCTCCGCTTAAGAAAAGGAATTTGTACAAAACATTACTAAGGAAAATATCTTGTTAGTCCGTCCTTGCTAATTTCGTAGTTTCTGGGAATCGAATTTTTTTCATGTATTACTTGTGAAAGGAAAGAATGAGAGAAAAATGGCTTTGTGTGTACTAGTGCCGCAATAGTAGGGCATGCTCATCCAGATGTATATGACGCAGTATGCAATACTGTAAGAATCCATGGCACATATACCTATTTTGTTCTCTTCGTAAGAAGTGCACGACCATAAATATAAATAAGTAATAAAATTATATAGACTTTTACGTAATGCCAAAGGACTGTACATTTGTTAAATATCATTCCTGATCCTGTCAATATAATATGCAGAAATGAGATTGTTAACGTGGCTCGGTGGTGCAACGGTAGCCCGTCTGACTCCAGATCAGAAGGTTGCGTGTTCAAATCACGTCCGGGTCAAAAAATGTTGGATTGGTTTCTTTTATTTTTTCGTTCCGTCTTAAGAAACAATATGAATTTTCTCTATTTCTGAAACAATAATTCTCTAAACTTCCAATTTTTTTGTTTTTCTCCAGTAGTCCGCGTTTCAGTAGGTTTCCATTAAGAAATTTGCTTGCGGTGTATTGAATTACGTTAAATTTGTCTAAGCTCAAAATTGACAAATGAGAAAATTTTTTTTATGATTCCAAAGTCAAGGCTAGGTTCCATCCTCGTCATTTGTCCGAAAACGAAATTCACGACTTTCATCTGCAATAACGATAAGTTGCCTGAGTGTTTCTAATACAAACAATCCTTACATTCCAGAAGAGGAAGCGTATGAAAAACAGGTGTATTTCATTTATAAATTTTCTACATAGTCTGCGTTTTTAAAAAATACAATGTTTTTAAAAAGAACGGGTAGTTGTTTAATTACCTACAAATTTTATCTCCCTTAGCAATTTCACACTGAATCGAAGAATGTCGGGAGCATCCAAGACTCGGTGGCGCGTCTGAGTCCAGA